AAGGGGAGAAACACAAACACCATGGCACAGCTTGGACCAGAAAGTTGTACGGTTTGGGAGTGAATTGCGAGGTTATTTACACTAATCTATCCTTAACTGCTACTTTGTCACAATAGGCAGAATAATTAGTAGAAAATAACCAGAGAGAACAAAGGCAGGTTTTTTTCTTATCGCCTCCCGTTTTCCACCCTTCTCTTCCCTTAATTATTTTCTCCCGCCGAAAAAGACCTTTCGGCACTGCAAAACAGAGTACAATCTATTTTTTTAGTTATTACTCTGCCTTTGCTAGTAGCTGAGAAGCGTGGGTTTGCAGTAAAAGAAAAAAAATGACCCACTTTGCAGCACCGCCCTTGACATTTAAATAATCAAACTAATTGCATTTTAATTTTAGCTGTTAACCAATCTCCTATATTTCCTAACACAATATTGCAGCGTGGGAGTTTTGCGAGGACTTACGTGTACATTCCGTACTCCGGTCACTCTCTGTGCACTATTGTGGTGTGATTTTCGCCTGGTCATTGTGTGTTGTGTATATTTCCACTTGTCTCCCCTGGAAACAAATGCATATTAATTATATATATGTTAATATATACAATATATACATCTATATGCCTCCCAAGAGAACTTTCTATCCCATGTTTATATGACGATTGTTTGCTTCTTCACGAATTTAAATTATCACAAAAATGCACACAAAAATATTATTTTTAGTGAGTTTCTTGTTTTAAAATATTTTTAAAGAGTGATTAATCACATATCCTCACACACATATGCCTAGATCCCGTTTAATCGTAACAGAAAAGAAATAATAGAAGGTGCATTGTTATCGCAATCAAGCGTTTTATCTGCAATATCACTGTAAAATTAAAACCGAGTCAATTGCTCTTCTAAAGGCTAGTTGGCGTTACAGCAGGAAAAGTCATTTATTTCGGGTTTATGTTGACGGAGCAGTTGCCATTCAAGTACTCAATATCTACTCAAGATTTCAAAACAACTTTTGAAGCCGTGCCAACGGCTGAAGTGTTTTCTCGCGCCATTCTTTTACGATTTACTTGTATTTTATTGCCACGACTAAGTTTCAGAGGGGAAAAAAAAAAAACAACTGACCGGGAAATATTTTTTTCTCATCTTTCAGTCCCGAAAATTTTAAATGCGCGCCTTCCGAAAAGTGCATTCCCTCCGACTATTTGTCGATGTAGATCAACGTTGGTGTTGTCCCTTCGCACCCAAAAAACAACCCGGGAGGTATTTGTGATTTTATGTCTCCCCCCTGACTTGGGCGGCTGAAGTTGTTTTTATCCCATCGACTCCCTGGACGGGAAGTGCTGCTCGCAGGTGCTCCGAGGAGAGGCTGCAGCCGAGGGCCCCATTCTGCCGCCCTCCTTGCC